CCACATGTCTGTCTGATTTCGTCCAGCTGGTGGAACTTGAGTGGGCCCGTGCGGCGTAAAACTAATTATACTCACAGGGGCCGTCAACATATATCAGTTCAATTTCTTCCTACAGACAGAGCCGTTTGTAAAACACTTAACATGTGAGCACGTTCATCAGGTGAGGTTAAATGGGGTTCAACGTCGCGTTCAAGATTATTGCACTTATATAGCGACGTGCATGCACGTGTATGTGAGCTGCTTGCACGAGTCCGGCCTAATGTCGGTTTCACAGTGCTAGCCCACTGAGATGCCATGCAGCAGTTTAACACGGGTACCCCACTCAGACACACTGATGGACTCCCTGCCGACCAGTCCTTGTTTTAGCCCCTTAATGCTGAGAACCAGACAGGGTAACCAGTACCATCTTTTAACGTCTTTTGGTATGACATGGCAAGGGATCGAACCCCCGACCTTCCGCTCTCCGGGCAGACGCTCTATTTACTAAACAAAATTACTGTCGGAAATGCTAGAAAACTGCTTTTTGCCTGTTAAAATCGGATATACTTTTGCACAGACTGTTGTTATTGAAATATCGAATAACTACCGATCGCCCTACCTGTGGTTTGAAGTATTTCAGTCACAAGGAGTCCTGTCGACAAGTTTACAGGAGACAAATTCGAACGTCAACAGGAAGTCCAATGATGGCAGTCTGAAACGGACTATAGAAATATGCGCACGTGACTCCGTTACAATGATAATAATGTAGTCTTCATAAAACATCTACTCCACACACAAAAATCATTTTGAGAAAATTCTAGATGTGCATCTTCTAAAATGCGTTTTTTTGTTAACATTGCTCCGATGCATGGTACATTACACTTGCATAGCCATAACCAAGGTACACGACATGGAATCTGTACTTGGAAATGCATACAAGTTCTTCACACTTTAGAGAGATAGAGGGAAACCATTTATTAATTTTAGATAGGGTGAATTACTGAACCGCCCAAGCTATGGTGTTTTCAGTTCATACCATCAAGTCTACGGTATATGATAAGAAAAAACAAACCAGGTATAGGGGTGGTCTCAAAAACAAAACTGGGGCGTAAAAGGATATAAGACAGCTTTGATTCAGGGTGATTAGGCGTATAGTGTACAAGCTTTATGAGCAGAAGGTAACCCTGACTTGGAGTAGAATTTGGAAGGAATTAAAGATGCAATGAATGTTTCCCGGACTGCACTATTGGTCTCCAAGAGATGGGATTTAGATACACTGCGCGTGGCGATGACCGAGCACTTTTCAGGTGAAAATATTCCATCCTGTCTATGAGGTCACATTATCTCCGGACCATTCACAACTATCAGGGCGTCCAGATAATTTACCTTGATGAATCATTCCACTGACTACATGTGGCTATTGGCAGATGGACAAAAAGCACCCATGGTACCATCAGGTAAAGGTAATCGTGTCATTGTTTTGCACACTGCAACCCATGATATGGGACTTGTTGATGGATGTTTTCGAGGCGAAAAAGAAAACTGGTGATTTTCATAAGGAAATAGGAGGTGATGTGTTCAAAGACTGGTTGGAACTTCAGCTATTGCCCATTTTAAACAACGCCAGTGTGATTGTCATGGATAACGCCAGTTAATATAACGTCCGGGAATCAGACACTGTCGCCCAAACCATGAGTAGCCTGAAGGCGACCATACAGGAATATATGGCATTGTCGACTACAGACCATATGAAACGAAAGTTCAACTCATGGAGAAAGTTCAGCTGAATAAGAAACCAGTAAAGTACAAGACACATGTGCTGGCGGCACAACACGGTTACGTTGTCTTACGTACGGTAGTCAGACATTGTGAGCTCAACCCTGTTGTGTCTATCTTGCCTAAAGTACAGGGTTCGTGGCAAGACATAACACAACATTCAAAAGTACAGATTCATATATACTCAACAACAAAAGTTCCCGTGGCACCAATATTTTAGTGTATTTTTCAAACAGGTAAAGTTTGGTTTTCAGTATTGTAGTACATGTATGGAATCAAGTCACAAAAACGCAACTGCTACAGAAAAGCATGCATTCCATGCAAAAGTTGACTTTTATGCAAGCCCCATGCATTTCACTACCAAAGAATGGATATAAAAACATGAGGGTTAACGGGATTCCATATGCATTGTTCAGCATCGTTCTGACAACAACCACTCAAAAAAAACAACAAAATTACGCAATTATTCAACATTACGAAATGCCACGCCTGTCCAAAACTGAGCGTCTGCGAGCCATTGGTATGCTTGAAGCAGGGTGGGGTCAACGTGATGTTGCAAGACAATTAACGTCCACAGAAACACCATTTGGTGTTTATGGCAACGTTGGCAACAGACGAATGCAGTCAGAGACCATCCTCGGAGTGGCAGGCCACGCGTAACCAATAATCGACAAGACAACTGGATTCGAACAACACACCTACGAAATCGATTCCAGCCAGCAACAGTGACTGCAAGAAGCATCCCTGGCCTTCGACGAATATCTCAGATGTGCAGGGATTGTCGCCAAAAGACCCGCCAGACGTCCCATTTTGACAGGAAACCACCGTCAAGCACGTCTACAGTGGTGCAGACAGCGTCTACGCTGGACGGCCATGCAGTGGGGACAAGTTCTATTCACTGACGAGTCTCGTTTTTCACCTCAGCCACAGCGATGGACGAATTCGGGTGTCCCGACGTCGAGGTGATCGTTACGTCAATCATTGTGTCAAGGAAGAAGATCGGTTGGGGGTGGCAGCGTTATGGCATGGGGTGGGATTACAGTAAGACAGAGGACCCGTTTGATAGTGGTAGAGGGAAATCTCAATGGACAGCGCTACCGCGACGAGATCATCGGCCCTGTTGTTCTACCGTTTTAGCGTCGTCATGGCCCAGGCATTACCTTTCAACATGACAACGCCCAGCCTCACATTGCTCAACTTGTTCAGGATTCTCTTCAACAAAACAATGTGAATGTCATCCCCTGGCCGGCTCGCTCCCCTGATCTCTCACCAATCGAGCACATGTGGGATGAGATGGATCGGCGCCTTCGACGTCAACCACGTGTTCCACAGACACTCCAGGAACTTCGAAACATGCTCCAGCAGATATGGACAGATATCCCACAGGACTTTGTGCGACGCCTGGTCCATTCCATGAGACGAAGATGTGTTGCTTGCATCGCAACCAGAGGTGGACACACACGCTATTGATTTGTAAATTGACATTTTGGCATGTTCATGTTTTTTTTATAAAATCACGCATTTTCTGAAGTCAGTATGGTAAATTAAACCATTTGAACACTTACAGGAGTCTTTTATCTGTTGCAAACCGAAATTGTTTCAGATTTGGTAAAAAACGTAACCTTGCACTAAATCTTATTCAATGTCACAGGAACTTTTGTTATTCAGTATACGTCATCAGCGGAGATAAATGCTACCTCAAGAAACCATCTGTAGAACAACAAATACTTCTGGATTCCAAAACCGCAACCTTCTAATACTCATCCCGTTTCATAGCTCTTAACTAGTCCATCATGTTTCCAAGCAAATATAATGCAGTACATATCCTAAATTGCTACCTCATCAAAGCATGTCAATTAAGTACAATAACAGCAATATTTTGAGACCACCCCCAACTCGGTGACATTTGCACCTGGGAGAATGCACGGGACTGTGTGAGGTCATCACCTCGGGACAGGTGTTAGGTTATTACCTCAAGTTATAGGCCATTTCATACATGCATGACAACACGAATATATTCTAAGTTTATCATCATTTTACCCGTAAAAGTACATTTTAAGGGTAATCACAGTGTCAGTTGGGACAGGCTAGATGAGGGCGATTCGCGTTATTTTGATATATGCTCTCTTTATAAAATGAAGCTAGAAAAGAAGTTTTCTAGCATTTCCGACAGTACTTTTTTTTTTTAGAGTACTGAAGCAGCCTACCCCACTCAGACTCAGTATACCGACTTTGAACCGACCAGTCCTTGTTAAGTCCCTTATTGCCGAGCGCCCGGGAGGGCAACAACAAGTACAATCTTTTAACGTTTTTTGGTATGACGAGGCTGGGGATCGACCCCCGACCTTCCGCTCTGCGGGCAGACGCTCTATCCACTGGAAACTGAGTAGGTCTCTTTCAGTACAAGAGACTTCAGCTACTGAAGTGGGCAGCTGGGTAGCCTAGTGATTAAAGCATGTGTAGGTCACGGAAGCATCTCATTCACTGAACCCAAGGGGATTCCAGGTAAGAATCTAACAGGTCACCATCAACCTATATTTGCAAAAAGCGACTAACGGAACCAGGTGGTCAGACTTGCTGGCTTGGTTGATGCATGTCATCGTATCCCAGTTGGATCGATGCTCATGACGTCAATCACTGGATTGTCTGGTCCAGGATCGATATTTACAGATCGTCGTCATATACCTGGAATATTGCTGAGTGCGGCGTTAAGCAACAAACAAACAAAATGTTGTGAAACTCGACTGCTTTCATTAAACATGCAGAGTACAATGTTCAGCGTGACCCAACAAACGTACAACAGCAAAATGACAGCAGGCAGTGACATGCCAAGCCGCCTGTCTTCACACAGTAGGCGAGTCCTCGGTGGGAAAATATTTAAGATATCTAATCCTCACGGCGTTTTCACGTTTGAAGTACGGCATTAACCGGGCGTGTAGTGTCTTCAATGCGTGACACCTACTCATATGGGCTACAGGAATGTAATACGCAGCCAGTGAAATGGGTGTGGAATAAACTCGTTATACCACCTTGTTGATAATACGCATTATGAAATTGACATGCTATTGACCCGTATAACACAGGCCGTGATAACTGGTGTATTTTCTTTCTGCTTCGGTTAGCCTTTCTTTCATATACATCATTCTAAACTTCGTAAAGACGAAACTAGCAAAAGTTGAATGGTCAAACTGTGACACCCCTTGGACGGGGCACGGAGGCGCACGTGACCTAAGTTGATTGGTTGTTGACATCATGTGACTTTGCACGAGCGACGCCATATTGCCGAGCTATCAATTGGCAGACGACGGGACAGGTGGTTGGCAAACAAATCTCACGATCACAAGTTAGGCAAGATGAGTCTGAACGGCACGGATACCCACCTGAAACCTCGCCTGTGTCATCTCTTAAAATGGCCCGATTTTAATGGATACGGCTTCAATCTCCATGCGGAGAAAGGTAAAGCCGGACAATATATCGGGAAAGTTGACGACGGATCGCCAGCTCGGGCTGCAGGTTTGAAAGACGGTGACAGGATCGTGGAGGTGAATGGCGTAAATATCGGCAATGAGAATCACCAGCAGGTTGTTAGCCGAGTGAAGGCTGGAGGGGAAGAGACACGCCTGCTTGTGGTGGATAACGAAACAGATCAGCATTATAAAGATGAAAGAAAAGTCGTTCGGGGTGACCTCCCCGAAGTGGTTACCATCCACAGCCCGTCTCACGATACAGGTGAGTGAGCGTTAATGTGTCATCTGTAGTATCTACCTGCCAGGTAATCTAAGTAATTAGGCCCCCAGAAAACGCCCCAGAAAAGAAAGTTGTTCTGATTACGTATTACCTTCAAGATCTATATGGTATTGACTAGAGGGAGTTTGTTTATTTCGATTACGTTTGAACAGCCGCCAGGTATCGATAAGGGATCGCTGTGCGCCGCTGTGTACATTGTTCGTTGTGATATATGGACCAGGGCTAGCCCACTGAACGGGGCTGGCGCTTTGCATTACTTTATGGCTGTCAGATCGACAGAGATTTGACAGGAGCAGAACTTGTTCTAAAACTTGAACGCCAGCACTTTAGTAGATGTCAAAATAACTTTTGCAAATGCCCTATATTATTTGTATGATTTCAATCTACAGTCGTTTTTAGAAATGTTACGGTGAATGAAGGCATACACCCTATATCTGACTGACCGCATGGAATCTGTGCCCCTCCCCCTTTTAGAGACTAAAGGATTTGACCTGTTAGCCGAAGTTGGTGGGCGTTTAGAGCTAGAGTGACAATCGGGGAGCAATGCTGGAATGGTTGCTTTTCTTGTTGGGATACATGTGTGAACACACTCCTATTTCCAAGTACAATTAACTTGGAATTTGTTTATCCCCCAGGGACGAAACATGAAAGGGTTTAAAGTGAACCCACTACGACACCACATGGCCCTCAGTCAGGTTCCAGGTAGACCTGTGGGCTAAAACATTAGCTGTATAGAATATCCTTCATGTGTACTTATGTAAAAAAGGTGTGTTTTCTTGCAACTGAGAAATTAGCACAAGATTTGACGAAGATAGTACAAACGTTTTTATAGGTAATGGAATAGTTGCAGTGTAGTATTCACTTTGTGTGGACTAAGCTCTATAAACAGTACATATCATGTGATTATTCAACAGTGAACAATAAGTGATGGTGTGCATATGTATACATTGTAACTATCATTATGATGAATGTAGCATTTTCTTCTAAAATGCTTAGTTGATAAGCATGATTAACAACATTGCATAATGGGATGCAACACTGCATATTACAATGTTAGGCTATAGCCACTTCTTTTTCTAGACATGGTTGATATTGATAAAAAATAATTCAACATTGTTTCTTTTTATGAACACACTGCTACTCATTACAACACTGTCATAAAGTCTATTAGGTTACAGCTATGTTGATGTTAAAATACTTTCTCATTATCATTTCTTTCCTGTATTTTCCTGATTATTATAAGGAGGTTTTATAGCCTGAACTTACCTTGGACTGAAACAATATTGAATGTATCTCCAGCAGACTGTTGACAGTGAGTAGTAAGCCAGACTGGTGTGTAGTTAATGGTCAATCAGGTGTTAGATTACAACATGTTTGCACTTGCTGAGGGAACATCACACCTCAGCACCCAGATAAACTGCAGTCTTGTCTACATGATCGTATTATTAGCAGCAACAGATATTTATTTCATATCCTGATCCTGCACTTACCTTACTATTAACTAAGCAAACATTTTAATCAGGTCAATCCCCTTGATATAAGAGGATCACTGAGCTTGATGTAACATGCTTTGATTGCATCAAATGACTGATTATTCATAGCCGATTAACTTTGTTTTGTTAATTTCTTACTCCTTGCTGAAGTCAGTGTGGGTAATAGGGGTGTTTTTCATTCATGCATCCCTGTAACAAATACATCTTGGCAGCCAGGGAACTACAGAGTTAAGCGTGAGGTAACAGTGTAAAACTTCACGTTAAAGTACAGTTTTTTGTTTTGCAAGACAATATAAAGACAGTGTTCACACACATTGCTGGTAGATAAAGGCTAGTTTGTAAGATTTTCGTGCAAAAAGTTATAATATAATAGAGTGGTAATCATTTTGTGTTCTTATTAGAATAAGCCATGATGCATTGACCATGTGGTATAAAAATTAATTTTTACTTAAAATGAAAGGAGGGTTGATCTTAAAGTGTTTCTTGTGAGTAAGCAGATATGCAATACTTACCATACTTACTTGATGCAGTAATTCAATACTTACCATACTTACTTGATGCAGTAATTCAATACTTACCATATTTACTTGATGCAGTAATTCAATACTAACCATACTTACTTGATGCAGTAATTCAATACTTACCATATTTACTTGATGCATTTTGGCTGGGTTTCATTTCACTTTTTTTATGAAGAAACAAACTACTATCTTGGTGTCAAGTCGCAATCTTTCTATTGAAATATTTACTACGGCATAAATGTATCTTTAAAGCCCGAGTATGATTACATTGGTTCCTCATTGAAGGGATATGTGGGTCAGTCCTGGCATTCTGTGTGTAGGTCGTTGTGATTGTACATATTTAATTAATGAATATTCAGACACATGAATTAAGTTCCTTAGAGATTATATAGTGAAGTATGTTGTTACATATTACAAAATAAATCCACCCGATCATGTTTAAATTTACATTTGTTATTGGGCTTCCCAGGACTTCTAAACAAGAAGTAAGCATAATTTCTGACTTGCTCATGATAGATAAGATATTTATTGTGTAGTATTCCATCAGGAAATGGTGGCAATAGTCTACAAACTGCAAATATATGAACAGGAAGTACAAAACATGCAGGCACATTCTACATATACATGAGGTATGTTGTAACATGGTTATACCATGGCATGTTTGTTTGTTGTTTAATGCCGCACTCAGCAATATTCCAGCTATATGACGGCAGTCTGTAAATAATCAAGTATGGACCAGACATAACAGTGATTGCCATCATGAGCATCAATCCACGCAATTGGGATACGATGACATGCATCAACCAAGTCAGCGAGCATGACCACCCAATCCCGTTGGTCGCCTGTTATGACAAGCATAGTCACTTTTAACAGCAACCATGGGTTGCTGAAGACCTATTCTTCCCCGGATCTTCACTGGTTACTACAGCATGTCAGCATGGTGCGGGATGAAAGCCGAAATGATGCATGTCTTAGACGTTTACCACTTTACTGAAACCCACGAGCACAGGTATGGTGCTGAGAAACCTAGAAACATAATCGGGCGAACCAGGATACAAACCCACTATCATAGGTTTCTTGCATGCCCAAGGGATGCAACTCTGCACAGCAAATTGTGGTGCCTTAGACGACCGGGCCACCCATGCCCCCACCTCAACAGATGGTTTCTGCTTTCCCTGAATGTTCATTCATGTTTTTTTTATGAAGCAATGCAACAGTTGATAAAAAGCTTGCGTCAAAGTAATTATTTTTTCCAAAAGGGTAAAATAGCAAACACAGGACAGTGGCTGTAAGAATGTACATGGTATTGATGGATTTATTACAGGAGAGAATTACAAAAATATATTTTTGAACAAAGAATTTTAAAAACGTCTGCTCCATACTTTCAATACAAAATTGCTAAATAAATAATCAAGTTTCAACTGCTGGAGTGTTGACATGTAAATGTCGACAGGCTGTCGCATGCAATGTATGGCTCTTAGTATGGAGATTTGTACTGCTGTAAATCAACAATTATCAACACAAGTATATTGTATGTGCCAGAAACAGACACTACCAGATTTATTTTTTCACTGCACATGTTTTTGGACACTCTGTCAAATAAAAACATTAGCTTATCTCCTCCTAATGTCTCACTGTCCTTCTTGTCCAGGTCTTCAGTTTTTTAGCCTGTACGACATGGTAAAGTGAAACCTGGTCAAACGTATTAACTTGATGCGTCATATGAGATGATATCACTTGATGGGGCCTGATCCGCAAATGGCCACAGTCTTAACATGCTTAAGCCTATAGTAAACTAATGAGGTTAGGACAGTTGTAATTCTGTTTTAAACTATAGACTGGAGGTTGTGAAAGTCATTTATTTACTTCATGTATTGGGCACTAGTAGAATCCTTATGCATTAAGGTACTTTGTTCTCTTATTTTTACAATATCAATATAGCCAATACTCATTCGTTTACAGATTTAGATGGTAAGTATGTGTTCATTACAGAATTCAGAAATTACAGACCTGGGGGATAATCTAGTCTTCACTCAAAGTGGGTAATAAAAGCGATAAGCTCTCATTTTGTTGCAGCCGGTGAATAAAAGATAATATTATACTGCTTATGGGCACTGACATGCCTAACCCTGTGCTGAAAGCCACTGATATCACCAGATAAGCTGTATCTCACCAATATTTCCCCCACCATACTGTAAACTGTGATATAAAATGATTTATCCAGTGACACATTGGAGTTTATGACTACCTCACTAACCTGTTGTCTATCTCCCAAAGAGTATATAGCTTATCATGCTACCCAGTATACACAGATAACTGTTGCTGGGGACGCCTGCTGGCTGCAATCTTCAAGGCTACACTGTTCCAATTCCACAGGGTTATGGCTTAATTTTTAAGGCTAGCATTTCATATGGATAATACGAAAATATACTTGCTCGGACCTGTTGGAGGAAAGTGTACGAAGTGAAATTTTCCTTACCATGCTTATAAGCATGATTAAAGTAACTGTTCTAACCTTATCGTTGCTTATGGCTAGATGCCTCTTTAAAGGAGTGTGTATCATTTCTTGTGAATCATTTTCTCAACTTTAGTTTTGGTTGGTTGGCCCAGTACTCAGTGTCATTGGAGGTGCCAGATGATTAGTTAAATGTTTAACACATGCCGTCCACAATATTCCAGCTATGTGACAAGAACCTATAAATAATCCAGTCTGCACCAGACAGCCCAGTGGTTGATATCATGAACAGCATTTCATGCTATCATAGTTCAGTGACGTGCAATCAACCGACTCTGACCACTTGATCCACTGAATAGCCTCTTAGGACAACCATAGGTTGCTGGGAACCAATTCTAACCCCATGGGAATTGAAGCTCCAGAATCTTGGAATCATACCTGATAGTGCATCTACTCTAACATACCTCCATTAAACTAAATGTGTACTACTACTTAGGCAACTAGTGTTAAGTC